GTGTGTGTGTGTGTGTGTGTGTGTGTGTGTGTGTGTGTGGGTGGGCGATTTGATAAATCAGGGGGGCACTAAGAATGTGGGCAGGGCAACGAGTTCCCCATCTATGTCCTAGCATATCTGATTGGATAGTGTTGTGGTAAACCTGAAAAGGGATTTTTTTTTTCCCAACATGTCAAGGGGGCTCTATTTTCTTGACTGGTGTCAATCCTGCACAAAGCGTCGTGTAATCCTGCATCCATGCCATGAAGTGAGAACATGGAGAACGCCCCCTAGCGCTGATTGCTCATGTGCCCTTCTCTTGTAGCATGAACTGAAAATCATGATCACCTCAACTTACTGCCTGGATGTTGAAAACATTTAATTTATTTGCCAATATAGATAAGAAGATGGGAAGTTAGAATGTATAAGAGGATGGCATGGAGACGGAAGGGAATAGCTCATGATCCAAAGCATACAACATCATCTTCCCAAATTGTGGCGGTTGTGTTGGAAGGATAGTATAAGTGCTGACTGAACAGGCTCACGCGTGTTTACTGATAATGTGTTGTGACTGCTGACAGAAGTAACAAGATTAAGTCAGAGTCATATAGGGCTCTCTGTTTACATTCATTCAGACAAAAGTAATAGTACGCCGCTTTACTGCGTAACATAACGATCTATGAAAACAATTCATGACTTTTGAAGAAGATGGAATATTCTTCAATGGCCAAGTCAGTCCCTGTAGTGGTGGGAAATAATGACGTAAAACTACTTTGTTACGGTACTGCATCTAGTGGATGAATAGTGCAACCGCAGCCACTATTGCAACTTCTGTTCTATGTGCCTTATAATGCAGTGTGCCCTATAAATGACTACAGTTTTAAAAAAGGTCAGGCATTGAAGGTGCGCTTTATACTCCGAAGCGCCTTATAGTGTGGAAAGTATGGTACTTTTACTTTGGTACATTTCAGTCTTTTCTTTTTCATTTTGACTTGAGTGAATGAGTTGAATATGGACTTCTACTTTTACATTGATTTTTTTTTTTTTTTTAACGCAAGTATCTGTACTTCTTAAGTACAGAATGTTAAGTATTTCCCACATCAGGCCCCCCCAACCAGAGCATGAACTTGTCTCCATTTACTGAGGCAGTAAGTGACCCCAAGTATGAAAAATTCAGCATGAATGTTTCAATTATTGAAATACTTTTGAGACACTTAAAATGGAAGTGTTCTCTGGGTTTTCTGAATGGTAAAGGCCATATGTTTGTAAAAATCAGAGAAAAGCTGAGAGCCTACACTACACACGAAAATAAATAATTTCATATTCATTGTTGTGGTGTAGAAAGACAACGTTGTAAAATGTCTGACTTCTGTGCATAAAGTCCTCTTTTCTAAAATGCGTCCCACATCAGTTTTCAGTGAGTCGGTGATGATCCGAGTCAAAAGCGGTCAGCTATTTACAGATAATCAAGCACACATTTTGGCAGGCTGTAATCATAATAAATTTATGTCTATCGCATTCTTGTTCTTGTTCTTAATTCATGAACGCCAAGTTGTAACCGCACTAACTCTTGCATGAAGTCATTTTGCATCCTGGGAGGGAAAGTCAATTTAAATTTTGAGAAAGTTTGGCAGCTGCTGCTGTTCAAATCAAATTATCAACTCAATCAACCAAAAGTTCCTCCATCTTAACAAAAAAAAAAAAAAAACAGAGGTATTAATTTTTGGCAATAAAGAAGAAAGCTGCTGTTGGTAAACACTTGGGAGTCACTGTTTAAAAAAAAACAAAAAAAAACAAAGACCGAATCCGTAATCTTGGGGTGCTGACAGACTTTCAGCAATCACTAAAACAGTCTTTTACCATCTGAAAAACATGAAAGATCACATGCTATGAGCAGCTCAGGAGCCACTTATCCATGCTTTTATCTCCAGTAGACTTGATTATTGCAATGGTTTTCTGAATGGACTCATTCAGAAGAGCATCAAGCAGCTGCAGCTCATTCAGAATGCTGCTGCCTATGTTCTGACCATGACCAAGAGATCGCAACACATTATTCCAGTCTTTAAGAATTTACACTGCCTACCCCACTCAGCTGGAGAATATATTTCCAAATTCTGCTCTTAGTTCATAAATTACAGAATAGGTTGGGTCCTGAACACATCAAAGAAATGCTGACAAAAATAAAACCCTTAAGGCTCTTTCATTTAGCTCAGAAAGGTACCGTATTTTCGGCACTATAAGGCGCACCGAAAAGCATTCCATTTTCTCAAAAACCGACAGTGTACCTTATAATCTGATGTGCCTTATATATGGATCAATATTATGATTTCTTGGACATAGTTTTTAAATGTTCTGTGAAGTGCTTTGTTACAGCTGCAGTGGTTGTAAAATAAAGCTGTATTGTATTGTATTGTATTCCCTTTAGCGTAGCTCCATCTAGTGGATGCAAAGCGCAACCCCAGCCACTATTGTAGCTTCTATTCCATGCGCCTTATAATGTGGTGCACCCTATAGATGAAAACAGTTTTAAAATAGGCCATTCATTGAAAGTGCACCTTATACAGTACTACAAAGTGCTTGTTCAATGATTTCCTTTGCGTTGAAATGTTTTAAAATCTTTTGGTTGCAAATGTACTTAAACTTTGTCAATGTATGTATTTTGTTAAAAGTAATTTTAATAAGCTACTTTTGTTCTCTCTGCCCTGTTTATGTCTTGAGTATTTCTGTTTGTTAGTGCTTTTATATGGTGTGCTTTTGCTTGTGTGAAGCACATTGAGTTGCCCAGTGTATGAAATGTGCTATATAAAGTTGCCATGCCTTGCCTATATTGCTAGCATGACTTATTCCATGTTGGAGTGTGGCTAAACACCGAAGGCTCTATTTTCTGGATTGGCGCAAGTCCGCCGCGGCGTACGGTCTTAAGCCTGCGTGGAGGATTACCTTGGGTAGTAGTAATTTTGAAACAATATTTTTTTTATTTATTATTACTGTTATTCTTTTTCTTTTGTAATAGAAGGGTGCCAATAATTTTGCTCCCGTGTGTATGTTGTACGTTGCTTTGTCTCAAGAACTGCTGGGTGACCTTGGCAAATGATTGACAACACCCCCCCTCCCCCCTCGGTCATGCCTTTTGTCGATAAATCTTTGGCTGGCTACGCTTGTAAAGGCGTGACATAGTTTAGTTTTCTTAATTATGATTTTACTCTTGTAACTACTAATCCAGTTTAACTAAGCTTGAAAGAAAAATCTGCATAAAAAAGTGGAGATGATTTCATTGTGTGCAGCCGCGTGCTGAAATAAAATGGAGCATATTCAACACTTAATTCTTTTCAGTGCACTTAAAAAAAAATCGACAACGTTTGCTAAGCTATTCGCTGGGTAGCTGTGGCTGTGAGCACAGAGCCAAGGTTGAGTTGATTAATTTTGACTCAGCAGATTCGGAGGGTCCACCCATTAAAATGTGTGTGTGTGTGTGTGTGTGTGTGTGTGTGTGTGTGTGTGTGTGTCGCGGCGGTGGAGGGTGGGCGGTATGGTGGGTTGCATCAGGAGGGGCACCCGGTGTAAAAACAGTGCCAAACATGGAAGTGGCTTGCGGTGACAACACCTGACAGGAGTTGGTGCTGCTTCTGAATTTATTTTATTTTTTTAACTACAGCTATTCTGATAACCAATTTCTTTCTAGCTATAACTCATCAGTATTGGTAGTTTTTACCCCTTGGTGGATCGAAATCTTGACCCAATATACTGGGGTCATCAAATCCACAACCCAATGTTCTTGGTGTAAATAACCCAGGATTGTCTCACTCTCTTTTGGACCCAATGACCCATTTCAACCCATTTGGGTTAGTTTTTGACCCAGCGGTTTTAAAAAGTGTATGATGCGAGTGACTTGTTGTGGCGACCCTTGACAAGTGAAAGTTGCTTCTTCCTCTGAGAAAATGTTGGTTTAAAAAAAAAAAAAGTATCGTTTATAAGCACAACAGTTCTGATAACACGGGACCCACGTCTTGGTAGATTTAACTCATCAGTGTAGGTAGCTTTTACCGTTGTTGAATCACAATCTTGACCCAATGTTCTGGGTTAAATCCTCAACACAATGTGGTAGGTATAAATAACCCAGTCTTGCCATTTGGACCAATTTCGGTTCCTTTTGCCCCAGAAATTTTAAGCGTGAAACTTTGCTGTGATACAATTGGAGCTATAATTTTGTATTCGGTAACGTTATCAGCCCGTCATTATTTAGTGCGATCTAAATCGGACAACTGTGAGCTGCCATCGCTCATCGCCATCTTGAGATTAGCCACCCAGGAACCAATGCAATAAATCTTGTTCTATTGCAGACAGCATTAGCGTGTTGTGTTTTTTTTTTTTTCCTCCCCCTGCGGTAAAGGGATGCTGGGGACATCAATTAGCCTCCAACCAGCTCTGACCTTGAAAAGAAGCACCGGCAGTGAACAGGAAGTCTCCCTGTGCCCACAGCCTGGTGTTTCAGTTTGTGTCATGCATTATTGATTTTCACTTTTTCATATGACGGTAATATCTTATGCTGCCTCACAAGTGCAGAAGTGCAAAGCGGCACCAAGCTCCATACATTTCTATGTGCCAAAGTCAAAGTGTAAAAAAACAAAAAAAACCCAAAACCAAAAATGGAAACAATGCTAATTACATTCAGCCACTCGAATGTTGACGTCAAGTTTGACTAGCACACACCTCGAGGAGAGCAATATTTCAGAGGCTTAGTCATGCACCTCCATGATGCTCTCTGCAAGCCACAACTTGTCTGCTCGAAGTCAAAGGCCTGAGACAGCCTATACTCCCCGCAGTAGCCGATAGAACAGATTATTCCTTTGGAACAAAACACCTTTTTTTGTCTATAGTGATAAAAATCACATCTTAGGATGCAGATGAAGAGCTTGTGCACTTCTGCTATCCTGTTTTCCTGTGCCGTGATGTGAGGGGGCGGCAGTTCTGGATCAAAGGAATGAGAAAGATAGCCCAGTCTTTTTTTTGGAAGTACTTACAGATAGTTGGGATGAAGATGTCGTTCACTTCTTGCGTTGTCAAAGGGAAGGTGGTCTGCTTTGAGATGGTGGGAAGTTCAGCAGCGGATTTAACGGTGGCCGATGGTTCGGATTGGGTCCCTCGCGGAGGCACGTATGAACCTCGCGTCGACGTGTCCTTCATTAAAACCTCAGGAGGCGCTGAGGTTATGGCGGAAGTGGTGGTCAGGGAGACAGTTGACGAATGAGGTATTAGTCCCAGAGTGGGGTCCGCTGATATGATCATAGGATCTTGCCCTATGCGTTTCGGATCTAAATGAGTGGGAGGTTCATACTCAAAGATCTTATCGGCAAAGACCCATTTGAGTCCTGCCGTGCACAGAGCTAAACTAAGCAGGCAGGCCAGGATGGGCAGAATGCAGATTTTCTCGGAGTGCAAGCAATGGTTAATCTGTTCCATCTCGATGCACACACAGCAGGTGCCGGGCAAAGCCATAACTCCTAAAGCTCCCGGATGCTCTCCACCATCATCGTCATCTCCTCCCTCTGCAGTTACCTCTGCAACCGCCTCCCCGTTCTCTCCAGCTGCCTCGCTCTCCTCTGGTTTCTCCTCTGGGAATTGTCCAGTATCAACAGTGGAGCCAGAGGGGGAGGCTAATCCAGGAGGGGGAACTGGCCCTGCAGAGAAATCCTCCACTCCTTCAGTCATTTTTTTTTTTTAAAACTGCTGGATGCAGATTCTCCGAACACTAGTAACTCAGACACCGTAAACCGCCAGTCACTTTAAGTATGTTGTCCATCATGGGGGAGAGCCGGGTTTGCGAAGGAAAGCGGGGAAACGTTCTTGATTCTGACCTTGTTAACAGTATGGGGTATACGTGGATGGCCTTCCATGCACAACGGAAAGGAGTCCCATAGTCTCAAAGAAACACGCTCATGCGTCCACAAGTGGAATGTTCAAATATTCTGCAGGATTAAAAATAGAAAAAAAAATTCTGAGATTCCTTGGATGCTTCGCATTGGTCCGAAAGGGAGGATGGCGCAATAGTGAAGGCTCACTCACCTGAGCACTTGGACGAAAGAGATGGCGTTGCGGTGATGGGACGTCTGCAGCTGCAGTAGTTGAAGTGCATTGGACAGGACGGGCCGGCACTGCAGTGGCAGGCGGGACATGCTGCCTTGTGTGTCTGAGAAGCTCCAGGCAGCAGAATGGCTGAATCATGAGGGAGCGGCAGGTGTCCTTCCTCTCCAGAGCAACCACAGAAACAGATGAGTAAGGGAAAGAAGAGAGAATGATAGAGAGGAGGCGGGAGGAGGGAGGGAGATAGGCTGCAGCAGCAGCACACAAGGGCAAAGAAGATAGGTTACTCCCCTTTTTCTTTTTTTTTCACCCCTCCTCTCACTAAAGTAGTGAGCGGGGCAGGCCTCCTCCCTCTCTCCTTCTCTTCCTGTCTTGCCACTGTCTCCGCGTTCTCTTGTGCGGCACAAAGCATCAAGCTAAGCAAGTTCCCTTAATCCAATTAAGAGCCCACGTCGGCCAATCACAGGCGGGCCAACTGCTACAGGCACCTCCTCCAAGAGCACTCCCCATTGATTAGGCCGGCGCAAAAGGGTGTGTTTTGTGTCTAGGGGAAGGAGCCAAGCAAGCAGACATATGATCCATCCCAGGAGGGTAGGACCAGTGTGTTCTAGTCCTCTCAAGTAGCGGAGTCATAACGCAGACAATAATGATAATGAATAAGATGAAGGTGCTTTGATCGACGACAGCGCGTTAATACCATTATATATCATCGAGACAATTTCAAGAAGTCACAGCTGGATCGAAACAAATACATATACGAGGACAAATAATTGGGTGTAAAAGTCAAAGAGCCACTTCAAGCATGGTGGTCACCATGAAAGCGATTTGAAGTACCTGCCCCAACCACAGCAGGTAAGAGGATGCCAGAACCATCCAAGGACTTTTGGGGGATCAAAAGGCTTTAAAGAAGATGAAGAAAGGTCAGGTCACCTCCACATGGAACACTGACCTGTTTGTGACCCTTTCCAATCCTCAGACAGAATTAATACCAGTAATGGTATCTGTGGGAGAGGACTTCCTGTCAGGCCCTTGAATTAGGGACCCGCGTATTGATTTTAGTCCCAGCATTTATCATCACTTTGTTTTGTCTTCGAAGAAGCCACTTGGTCCCAGAGGCAAATCAAAAACGGCTGGGCGTTTTTTTTTCTATTTTTATCATTTGTCCAATAGCTTTCTAAATTGTTTATGATTTGCTGATTGGATCGATACAATTAAGATATAGGTGAACTCAACCCACCTTTGATTAAAGCTCCACACCAAATGCAGAAAAAAAAGCCATAAGTGTAATGCTGCCACTATTATGATCACATTACGTAAGGTGCGCAATGTTTTTGAAAAATTCCTTTTGAATAAAATATTTTAAATCTTGGTTTCATCCAACCAACACATTTAACCTGTCCTGTTCAGCTGCTTGCTCCTGCAGCATGACATGACTCTGTTTGCCTTCTATGCTTCCTAGCACAATTAACCTGTGCAGCAGGTTAGTTTGACAACACTCTGTGTGGTTGTTTGTATTATTGATATTTATTTGATATGCAGTCAGACAGACGAAGGTGTGACAGGCAACAGAGAGAGAGAAAAGAGAAGTGAGCACGAATGGGGGGAAAACAAAGAAAAACAACATACAGAAAGAGCAGAATATATATTATAGGACTAATTAGAACAAAATCAAAAGTATTCAGCTTCTATCTGTATGATATGGAGGAAATGCAGTTCTACGTCCAGTGAGGAAGTGGTCACAATGAGTAGGAAATAGGACAGGACAAGGTAGGACAGGACAAGACAAGATCAGACAGGAGACGGTTTGTGAGCCAGCTGGTGGGACCAGAGTGTGTGGCGGCAGTGGCGATCAGTTACTAAATGCCTGTAGGGATTTTAAAGTGCAAGTCCAGGGAGTACATGTAGTCACAAGGGCTGAGAGTAGCCACCTATGAAGCAACTACATCTACTGTGGACGTATATTTGTGAATTAACACGTTCGTCATCTGGTGTTCACGGCCTGACCCACCCATCAAGCCAGAGGCCGCAACAGGTACACACAGTCGTGAGTGCATCCAACAACACGGTGCAACACACAAGTAGAAAGAAATGAACCCTTTCAGGCACAGGGGTTACTTCACAAGACAGCTTATCATGTTATCCGGTTACAGGGTGCATGAAAGGGTGGAGGATCCAGGTTGTTTCACTGAAATTTTCTCTTTTCCGAGATATTCTGTGGTAAGATTGATCTATTCTAGCCAAGACTTCTGTTTTTCATAAGGGTGTGTCTATTCAATAGGGTGGAACGGTTCACAAAATCCACGATTCCATTTTGTGTCACGGCTTTGTGCTCAGTTTTCTTTTTGGTTTGGTATGTGTTGACTCTGAGAAAGATCAATTACGTCTTGTAATCACATTTATTTATGAATGTGATTGCACTTTAGTTTACATTTTTAAATGTTCAGATATTAAGATTTAAATGAGGCAAAATAACATACTTTTTCTCTCAAATATATTATTATAATCATTTGTTTCAGATGCACTGTAATTATTTTCTGTATAAAAATTAATTTGGTGTTCAAAAAGTATTTTTTCAAACTTGAGTCTTGAAAAAGAGGGGGTCGTCTTATAATCTATAATCAGGGCCGTCTTATATTCAGGCCAATACGGTAAATGCTCTTCAGTTGGATGGCAAAAGGTACAATCAACCTGTGCATCTACCTATTGCCATTCATGCAATAGAATAAATCAAGGCACTTTACAAATTCATCAGCTTCTTGTTCAAATGCACTGGAGAGAGATACAGTATATGTAAACTCAGCTCCAAAGGAGTTGGTACATTATGTTAAATATCAATGAAAAATACAATGATTTGCAAATCATATTCAACCTACCAGTATATCTAATTGAATACACTAAAAAAACAAAATATTTAATTTTTAAACTGATAAACTTGTTTTGAGCAAATAATCATTAAATGGGAATTTTATGGGTGCAACACACTCCAAAAAAGCTGGGACAAGGTCATGTTTATCACTGTGTTACATCACCTTTTCGTTTAACAAAATTAACATTTGGGAACTAAGGACACAAATTGCTGAAGCTTCGTAGGTGCAGTTCTTCCCCATTCTTGCTTGATGTACAGCTTCAGCTGTTTAAAAGTCCTGGAACTCCATTGTTGTATTTTACGCTTCATAATGCGTACCGGTAATTTTCATTGGGAGACAGGTCTGGACTGCAGGCAGCCCAGTCAGGTACCCACACTCATTTACTACAAAGCCACGCTGTTGTAACATGCAGAATGTGGTTTGGTATTCCCTCATTTGATTTTTTCCTTCAATGAAAGGTAACACTACACTTCATTCAAGGTGGGATTTATTTCACTCATGTTCCCTTTGTCTTTTCATGCATTGAAAACAATGGTAAAGGATAGTAAATAAATGAAATACTGAGCACAAAATAAAGAATTCCAGAATGATTTGAACATAGGGTTATAAAATGCCAGGTATTTTTAAAAACGGCTACAGTTACAGTTTGGCATTTACAAAGCATACAATTTATATAATCACCAAGTTAAAAGGATTCTGTCATCAATATGAATGACCTCTGATATACTGATATTGTATAACTGTCGAGCCATACAGACTAATTCTGTGGAAAGTGACAAGAATTGTGTAAATCTGCATCCCTTTGAGCCTCTTGTCCCTGTGACCGACCTTGACTTCATATTTTCACGACTGAGAGAAACAATTCAAACACAGTACATGATAAATCTCTTTGACTAGTCTGAGCAGGAATAATCAAAGATCTCAAGTTACCTTCAAGTCACCTTTTATCACATCACAATCCCACTGGCTGAAAGACAGAACATAGCGGAAGATAACATAATTATGTCATTGAATTCCAGGTGGGTGTTGTAAATGGTGGACGATAGCACACCGTGGCCATGAACATTAACGCTTTATATCATTTTTTTTTTTGATTGAGAGATTTTTTTTTAAAAGTCCATCGTGTTTTAATCCTGCCAGGGAAGATGTGAGTTTACATCAAGAACTGAGCCACCAAGTTGGTCATCCCCAACAAGATAAGGAAACTGTGAAAGACCGCTGACGGCCAGCGGAGGGCACCCCGTCGTCTCAAGGAGATCATGTGGATCAAGGAGGGGAATACAAACACTAAAGCCAAACCGCATGTTGCGCCAGAAAACCTGCAACAAGAAACAATTGTCAGAAGTCACTAAGTCACTCATTTTCATGAAAAAAAAAAAAAAAAAAAAAAAAACACGTAAAATGTACCGAATTATGGATCCAATGTTGGGATAAAACTTGGCCATCAGGACACCGGCTCCAACAATCAAGATGTTCAGGGTGAGGACATGGAAGAAACTAAAGAGATAGAAAGAAATACATGAATACAGAAAATCCTTTATTATGAACCCAATAATGAAGCAGTGAATCAATCTTTTTTAAAGTGCTGATCTTAATGGTTCAGTCCAGTCAAAGAAACCGCCGTTCCCTTTGCGAGTCTGGGGAAGTGTGCGAATTGGCTAAGATCCCTTTCTAAAAGCCTGAATTTAGACACCTTTTTAATGCACAACAAACTAAATAAGTTCATGCCTCATGAATCAAGCAGGAACAAATCTCAGTTAAAAAAAAAAAAGATTTTGCTGAGCTCAATTTACCAGAGAATGCCATTTTCTTTGCTTTTGCCTACAATCTTATAAGTCGATCCGTGCACTGATTCGCAATCGAACAGCCAGTCAGAGGGATCAATTGTCAGACGGCCAACACCATTTTGCATCCGACGATCAAAGGTTCATTCATTCAAATCACATTGAAAAAGCCTAAATTATACAAAAGTTTCTTCTTGGCAATTCTAAATGTTGCTTTTTACTTCAGGTTGTTCTTGCTTGTATGTGGGCAAGAGTGGAATTATGTAAGCTTTTCCAACTTGAAAATAAAAATCTCTTGGCAGGAGCGAAAACCGTGATTGAAAAATAAGGGATTCTTATTCACATGTTGCCAAATGTTGGGTCAATGATGCACTCAAGAGACAGTTAATTTCGATAGCACCACCTCTTATAGATGGTGAATATTAAGTGGTAGTTGGGTTTCTGCGAGCTGAGTATCATCACTGCTAATTGCTACAAAGTAACGAATTGTGACTTTACAAAGTACCATATTTTCCACACTAAAAGGCGCATCTAAAAGCCTTCAATTTTCTTAAATGCTCACAGTGCGTCTTAAAATCTGATGCACCTTGTGTATGGTTATTATGGTAATATGTCAACCCCAAAATGCCTCCTTGCTAGAGACATGCTTACAATGCAGAGTTCAATCTTAAGGCGATCGGTTTCGTAGTTGAACACGGCAATAGAGCAGCAGCAAGAGAGTCAATGTTATAACTTGCTATTGGTTAAGTGAACTGTGTCACTGCTTTATTAAATACGTTTTACTGACATCTGATCGTCGCTATATAAATCAGGGTGTAGTGTAGTGTAGTGTTCTGTTGGCATTTCCTTGAGCGTAGCTCCATCTAGTGGATGCATTATAGATTGCGTCTTATAACGCGGTGCGTCCAACAAATGAAAACAAAAAATGAGAAAATAGGCCATTCATTGAAGGTGCGCCTCATAATCCAGTGCGCCTTTTAGTGTGGAAAATACAGTAACTGTAGTAATTAAAAAATAATAATCATAATAATAACCCTTTCAGGGACAGCGGTTACTACAGTGGACAGCTTTTCATGTAACAGGGTGGATGAAAGGGATAAGAATAGCTTAAATGAGAAAGGTAACATGTTAGATGAGTCGTTAGTGTAAAAACAATTTATATATTAGGGGAACGTGCTTACTGGCATATTACTTGTTCAGCCCCTATCATTTTGCATTGCAGCTGTGAATGCAGGTGAAGTAAACAACAAATACAAAAACTGATAGGTATCGACAATTTGAAACCATAATGAACGACGTCTTACCTGGGGTAATGATTGCCAAACATCTGGCCCATCATTTGGACTCGTACCAAGTATCCCAGCAAAGGATAGACCGTGATCATTTGGAACAACAGGAAGGACCGAGCCACAAACACCATCACATCACCGCTGGAGAAATTATCTAAAAAGTTCTGATGTGCAGGGGAACATGAGCAATCGCAAGCTTCATTAAATACTTTCTCTGCAAAAGGATTCTTTGGTTGAAGAATAGGAAATGGGTGACAAAGAATTATGGCATGAATTATTGTCGATTTGTTTGACGAAACCAAGATCGTTTTGTGACGAAGCGTGTCCTGAATATTTTTCAGTCTTACCGGCTCAATGCACTCTTTGCTGAGCGGAGGTGATGGAAAAGCAGCAAAAATCAACACCCCCACATAGAGGTACGTCAGCCCGACAAGGAGATAAGCCACAGACAGGTCCCGTACCTGAAAGTCCCAAAACTCAGTGTGTCAGTGTGTCTCTTAAATTGTTAAGCATGTTTACAGTCTGTGAAGCTAAGTATAAACCGGAGTGAGGGCTCACGTTATTCTCTTGATGCTTGTTGTTTTTCATCAATGTGATGATACAGTTGTGGATGAAGAAAGCCAGCGTGAGGACGCCCGTCAGCTGAGGGAAGAGCAGCCGCAATTCTGGAAGAAGAAAAATCAGGCGGATGAAATGCTCCTCTGGAACTCTGAACAGTATTACAGTCACAGAAGCAATCATTGGGCTGAAAAAAGGCAAATTGTGGGAGTCAGTTGAAACTCCGTAGAAGGTGGGTGATGCATCAGGACACCAACCCAACAGAGTGGAACAAAAAATAATAATTGCATGGCTCAGAAAAACAAAATTGGTGGTCAAGTCAGAACCTAGACCTCAAACCAACAGCGATGCCGCGATCTGCCTTGAAGTGGGCCACACATGCGACGAGACCAGAAAGAATGAGCTAAAAGTCCTCCTCAACAATGTGCAGGACTGATCCACAGGTACAGGAAGTGCCTGGTTGAGCTTGTGGCTGACAGAAAGGGCGTCTATCAGTTCATCTATTCTTAAGTTTTACATATCTTTTTTTCCCCACAGGCCCTGTACATTTTTTTCAGGTGACTCTCAATATAGAGATGAAATATTTTTTTAAACTACTGTGTCATTCACTGTCAAATCCTGTGAACCCTCGTTTATTGAGGGGGTTATGTTCCAAAAAGAACTGGCAAATAGGCAAAATCCGTGAAGTACAGTGATCCCTCACTTATCGCGGTTAATGGGGACCGACACCCCGCCGCAATAAGTGAAAAACCACGAAGAAGGGTTTGCTCCCCCTTGGAATTTTTGTGGAAGTATATGTGGGTACCAGCATGTTTAAAATATGTAAACAGTGATCATACTTTACATATTTCAGATAAAGACTACAGCACTACACATATTTACTTAAATCTTTAATTTAAAACCTTATACAGTAATTAGCATTCATCAGCATTGTCTATTGAGAGAGGCGAAGAGACTTGTGTTGGTTGAGGTGGCTCTCATTTTACGCTCTGACGGTGTAGCCGCCGTGGGCCTCCAACTAGCTCCTGGCCAGCTATCCCCGCGCAGCCGATGTGTTTATGAGAAGACAATTAATCGGTATTGATAAGAGAAGGCGAAGAGAGACGCTTCTTTATTTATTTTGATTTCACCTCTTTAAAAGATGTTCTTTCCACATTAACGGTAGAACATTTTGCCAAGCGTTTGATCATTTGAATTGAACAGAGGTGTGTAGACTTTTTATACGCACTGTATATGACCTTTTGTGTTTTTCTGCCACAAAAAAAAAAGTCCAATGAAGTACCTTTACGTTTGCGGTTGTACTGCAATTTGACAAATTGAGGTCAAAAAGAGGTACAAGTACTTCTGCGAGCCACTTTATATTGTGCATGGCTGCTGTTGCTTCTCCAGTCAGGACTAAGATTTTTTTTTTTGAAAGCCCGTTTGGTGAAGACCAAGATTTATCTGATCCCTTACACATATCAGCGTACATGTGTCACAATGTGCCGGAGAATATCACTAACCTACTCCAACGCAGTAGTAAAGTCATAATTACTGAAATGTCTCTATGAGAAACATAATGTATCATGAAGAAGTTATTTGGATTACCTGGAACATAGAAGTTAGTAGTGTCAAACCAGTGGAACTCAAGGTGAAAGCCAAGACGGGCAGCTTTAATTGTGACCAGAACAATCAGGTAGATCACTGATATGGTGCCTGGACAATGAACGACAAAGCATCAGGGAATGTACTGCATCTATGATATGGCACAATATCATATTCAAAAATTGAGCTTTCACTTTGTCATCATTAGGTAGTCAGAACATTCAAGAGTTGCAGTTTTGTTAGGATTCTTTTTTAAAAATGGGATAGCTAAGAGGAACGTTTCCAAAAGAGTTTCAAGACACAAACAATCAGATGAGAAACATATTTGCCTTTAGACTTACCCAAGAAGGTGAATCTTGCAAAGAAGGAGGCTGATCGGAAGCAAAGGAGTGGCAGCAGCAGAACAACGAGGAAGAATGGTACCGTATTGGTTTTGCTCCACCAGTGTTGAAAAGAGTGGACATCAAATGTATCATTTCCACTGGTACTGATGTAATGTGTGTTGAAAGTGTGGTTCCCGCCAGAGTCAGTACTTGGGTATGGACAAATTACTGGTGGAGAAATAAGCAAAGTATTACAATTCTAACTCGAAGTCAAAACGAATAAACTACAACCACTATTTATGAATGTCTCCATAAGTACAACATTCACAGCAAGACACTAGTTCAGGGGTGCCCAAACATTTTTGATCAAAGATCTACTTTGCGATCCACCAACCTCCAGCGTTGGTGGATCGCACACACGCACGTACACACGCATGCCATGATGAGCAACAGCCTGGCGCTGAGGCATGCGACGCAATTAGGCAGCCTGTTAACGATCGTAGCTCACACGTACCATTTTGAAATGCTTCTCTCGGGCCTCCAGATTCCCATTCTTTGCCCGTCCCCTTGGTGAATTGTACAATACAAACTCTGAATGACAATAATTATCACGATAAAAGATATAGCGCAACAACTCTGATCACAAGCTGCAACTGCAGACTGCTGAGCGCTAATAACTTCTGGTGACGCAGTCACACGTCACCGTAGGTTAAAGATTACCTGCTTTATTTTATTTTATTTTTTTTAATATTTTTTGTGAAAGTGAGACAGATATAATGATGAGGGTGCAGTGTGCATTAACACACAAAATATATTACTAACATGCACAGAGACACAAATGTTTTTTTTTGCCCTCTACACCCCTCGGATCGACTTGGGACCAGCCCTTGAGCGACTGGTTGATCGCGATCGACGTAATGGGCACCCCTGCACTAGTGTTTTCCGAAAAATCCCACACACATACCAATAATGATTAGCGCTTTCACCTTTTTTGTACCATATTTTCCGCACTGTAAGGCGCGACGAAAAGCATTCAATTTTCCCTATAATCTGATGCGCCTTATATATGGTGTCACAGTGTCTTTATATTCCCCATTGAGTTGTTTCCCTGTTAGCGTTCCTATGCCATCTAGTGGTGATTATTAGCAGGAACCAATTGTAACCTAAAAGGGTTCTTTCTGCCCAACACGATTTTGTTGATCAATATGGTGCTTTTAAATTATGCATATTAATGAAGCAAAGCAAAACATTTTGGATGAATAAAGGTTACATAAAACAAAATAAAATCCAATACAAGTACAAGCACAGTTCTTCCTAATTTTACTCTGTCATCTGCACTAAAAAATGCTTTATATCTAACGAAGAGTGAAATATGTTTAGAAGTGTTTATTTTTGTATTTATCGATACTTTATTCCAGTCTTTCGTGATAACATTAGCCGGTTAGCTTGGAAATTAGCACGGCTTCTCTGTCTTTCCCTCTGACTCATTCACTCCCAAGGACATACTTATCTCTTTTCAGACCCCACACATTCAATCCCGGGTACTTATTTATATACTTTTTTCAAGACTAGGGGTGGAAAAAAAAAGCGTCTGAAAATGGCCGGTAATGAATGAGTTAGCTACTCTTCGTAATTACTTCATGAAAACGATACTTGAAGGAAGGGTAGCTTATTCGCCGCTACGGAGGCCAGATGATGGAGGCTGTGATTACTGACTTTGGAGAGAAACTGCAAAGGGTTTAAAGCAGTGGTTCTTAACCTGGGTTCGATTGAACCCTAGGGATTCAGTGAATCGGTCTCAGGGGTTCGACGGAGCCTCTGCCATTGAGGTTAAGACATACCCGATTTAACATGTCAATTAGTTATGACACACCCGCTTGGCCATCACTAGCTACAGATGATCACATTACATTGCTTGTCCAATCAGTTCTGCGGGAAATTTAGTTCGCTCACTAGTCAACGTGTGACTGTCATGATAGCACGTTGTAAAATTTAAAAAACGTATACATACTTATGTCTTGAAATTCTATTTACTTATTTTCTGTTTTTAATAAATGTTTCTTTTTAAGTCTTCAATTTGTAAAAAGTCATATTTTTTCTGCCCAACACGATTTTGTTGATCAATATGGTGCTTTTAAATTATGCATATTAATGAAGCAAAGCAAAACATTTTGGATGAATAAAGGTTACATAAAACAAAATAAAATCCAATACAAGTACAAGCACAGTTCTTCCTAATTTTACTCTGTCATCTGCACTAAAAAATGCTTTATATCTAACGAAGAGTGAAATATGTTTAGAAGTGTTTATTTTTGTATTTATCGATACTTTATTCCAGTCTTTCGTGATAACATTAGCCGGTTAGCTTGGAAATTAGCACGGCTTCTCTGTCTTTCCCTCTGACTCATTCACTCCCAAGGACATACTTATCTCTTTTCAGACCCCACACATTCAATCCCGGGTACTTATTTATATACTTTTTTCAAGACTAGGGGTGGAAAAAAAAAGCGTCTGAAAATGGCCGGTAATGAATGAGTTAGCTACTCTTCGTAATTACTTCATGAAAACGATACTTGAAGGAAGGGTAGCTTATTCGCCGCTACGGAGGCCAGATGATGGAGGCTGTGATTACTGACTTTGGAGAGAAACTGCAAAGGGTTTAAAGCAGTGGTTCTTAACCTGGGTTCGATTGAACCCTAGGGATTCGGTGAATCGGTCTCAGGGGTTCGACGGAGCCTCTGCCATTGAGGTTAAGACATACCCGATTTAACATGTCAATTAGTTATGACACACCTGCTGTAAAATTTAAAAAACGTATACATATGTCTTGAAATTTTATTTACTTATTTTCTGTTTTTACGAAATGTTTTTTTTTAAGTCTTCAATTTGTAAAAAGTCATATTTTTGGTTTTCACTAATGAAGGGTTCGGTGAATGTGCATATGAACTGGTTGGGTTCGGTACCTCTAACAAGGTGAAGAACCACTGGTTTAAAGTGTTGCCGACTATGAAAGATAAGTGTCTTCACACCACTTTTGCTGTGAATCTAATATATACTGTACATTAAATTTGAATACATTTATTTCTGTCTTACCTCTATCTGTGCCATTGGTTCCAAACTCTGAATCGGACATGTTAACATGATGGACATAGTCTGTTAACAGAAAAGGGAATAATTTAGTCAAAGCTAATTCATAAATACAAGTATGTAACATAAAGTTGCCTCCGAATTCTAATTATGAATATTACATAAAACCAGAGAATAAATTAGCCTGCAATTATATTTCAACAAAGATTTTAAAAGTTACATGAGAACACAGGTCTAAAATGCTTTTTCTGGTTCGATAAGAGTATTGTTGTCTTACTGTAGATAAATTGCCCGGTGTTGAAGAGGAAGTTGGACATGAGGACCCAATAAACCACCATCGCCCCAATAAGAGACACCATTGAAAAGACTAAGCTGGACCACTGGCCAAACTTGCCAAAGTAATACCGACAAACATCAGGAAATTCCCAGTCAGATGTGTCCACGTAGGCTGCGCAAAACAAAGACAGAGAGGTGACAAATATTTCATAGTATCAACACTGAGTTGTTAATTGGGTACAGCTTTAGTTTGGCATATAAAACTCACCTTTCCTTAACCAGAGTCAGACAGCATAAATGGATAATGTTTGACAAATTGAAATATACTTTCATAGATGTGATAGTTTTTCGGCATGCATTTTTCCCTGGTCTGTAAGTCCATCCGTCCATTCCTTCTCTGTGTCGTTTATCCTCACTTAAATCACACGTGAGCTGGAGCCTATGCCAGCTGACTTTGGCCAAGGTGTGGGCAGTTCATTTTTTGGGACTCCAGACTGCCATAAATTGTTGCATTTTGCCCCTTAAATTTGAGACAGTGCAACTAAAATTTTCATCTACTCATGCCAGTGCAACCAGTAAATTTGCAGATTTTCTTTTTAAAAGTGCTATTTTTGGATTATTTATTTATTTATTTTTTGCTAGCAAACTACTGCTCCACACTTCAGACCATTCATAATACCGTATTTACCGGAATCTAAGTCGTTCCTCAGTATAAGTCACACCAGCTGCAAAATGCTTAATAAAGAAAAAAAAAAACATAATTTGCACTGGAGTATAAGTCACATTTTTGGGGGAAATTTATTTGATAAAATCCAACACCAAGAACAGACATGTCATCTTAAAAGTCAAATAAAAATAAAAATAGAGAACAACGGGTTACGTTATGCTATCGTTACATGACGCATAAACGACAAACTGAGAACGTGCCTAGTGTGTTCACGCAACTTATTAAGAGTTATTCAGATAACTATAGCAGAAAGAACATGCCAACAATTTTACCAAAACGTCAGTGTCACTCCAAATCACTAAATCCAATAAAATCTTCATCCTCGGTGTCACTTTTAAAGAGCTCCTGAGGTAGAAGATGCAGCGCTTCGTCTTCTACATCACTTATGTCAGAGTCATCGTCAGTTGTTTTTATCAGTTACCACTGTGGAAAGCATCAGCACAGGCCTAGAGTACCCTCTTGCGGTTTAATGTGAAAATAACATGTGAAATGATACAGTATTATGTTAATCATTTCACACATAAATCGCTCCAGAGTATAAATCGCAGCCGCGGGCCAAACTATGGAAAAAAAAACTGCGACTTATAGTACGGAAAATACAGTCCTGAAAATTAGTGGGCTGAATATTTACTTTGCAAGCCAATTAACAGTGTGTGCCCCTAAATAACCTTTCTTACGCCACTAACATTTCTGGTTCGGGGGCACTGTGCTACAGTAAAAACTAAATAAATAAATAAGAACAATTAATCTGGAGCCCAGTATATTTACATCTAGGGAGGAAACCGAGCCTGGATTTGAACCCTCAAACTCAGAACTGTGAGGTGGATATGCAAACCACTCAGTCAGTGCGTCACCTGCTGTGTAAGTCAATACACCAAATGCAGGATGCCTGAAACAGATTTTTGGGGCTATGTGTGTGTGTGTGTGTGGGGGGGGGGGTCAAAAGACGGATTCTCTCTTTTAAAAGGTAATCAGGTTGAGGTCAAGACTCACATGAGGTCACTCATGATGTATGTTATTCTATTAAAGCCATTCAGTTAATTTATTTGTGCCCTTTTGGTCACTGTCCGGTTACATCACCCATCTACTGTTAAGCTTTAATTGGCAGACAGATTCTCAAAGAGTTATTTAGTTATTTAAGAACACTTCCATGTCACTTCCTGTTGATTTTGGGACACTTCCAGATAACTTCCTGTTGATTTTGGGGCATTTCCGGATTAATAATCATAAGAATAATAACAAGAAATGTAGAATAACGTGTGAATGCCTCAGCATTCAAACAGTTAATCCACTTCAGTTAAACAGTGTACTTATTTTTGCAAAATGATTGTCATTTTGCAAAAATAGGCAAACCCATCGATCCACTTCTGTGCCACAGAGTGCACAAACAGAATACACAGCACAGTGAAATGTCTAGTCGAACAACACGGACATCGTACAAATTGGACATGACTAAACCCCCACTCACCCATTTTTAGTATGCTTACATTTATATTTTACATTTATTCATATACTTTTTTGTCTTCTACTTTGTCCCTTTCATAATTTTGCTTCTGTAAATTGGGAATTTCTCCATTGTGAAACAAATAAATGTTTTCTTATCTTATCTTATATATATGACAAACAGTAGTGCTGTACAAATTGAATATTATATCCATCCCAATGTTAGATAATTTTACATCCCAGCATTTTTTCTGATAATATTTTTCAGCGTTGTTTGTCTATGTGTGCCTGCCCTGCAATTGGCTGGTGACTAGTTCAGTGTTAATGCCTCGCCTGAAGACACCTGGGATAGGCTCCTGCGCACCCGTGACCCTGGTGAGGTCAAACGGTTCAGCCCAAGAATGAATAAATTTTTATTTAAAATTACAAACTGAATTCCAATGAAGTTAGGACATTGTGTTGAACAAAGAAAAACAGAACTCAATGATTTGCAGAACATGTTAAACCTATATTTGAATTTGAAGACACTACAAAGACAAGATATTTAATGTTCAAACTGCCAAACTTTATTGTTCTTGGCAAATCGTTAACTTTGAATTATATGGCTACAACACAAAAAAGCTCGGAGAGGGTCATGTTTACCACTGTGTTTCATCACCTTTTAACAACATTCAATAAACATTTGGGACTTGAAGACATTAATTTTTGAAGCTTTGTAGGTGGAATATTTTCCCATTCTTGCTTGATTGACAGCTTGGGCTGTTCAAGAATCCTGGGTTTCAGTTGTCGTAATTTGCGCGTCATAATCAGCCACACATTTTCCATGGGAGGCAGGTCTGGACTGCGGGCAGGCCAGTCTAGTACTTGCACTCTTTAGCACGCTGTTGTAAATTGTAATGTGCAAAATGCGTTTTGGAATCGCCTCGTTGAAATAAGCAGGGGTGTCCATGAAATACGTTGTTCGGATGGTTTTCCAAAACCTGTATATACCTTTCAGCGTTAATAGTGCCTTCACAGATGTGTAAGTTACTTCATGCCATCAGCACTAGCACAGCCCCACACCATCACAGATGCTGGCTTTTGAACTTTCCGTCCATAGCGGTCCGGATGGTTCTTTTCCTCTTTGGCCCAGAGGACACAACATTCACATTTTCCAAAAATAATTTAAAGTGTGGACTCGTCAGACCACAGAACACTTTTCCATTTGGCATCATTCCATCTTTGATGAGCTCAGCCCAGAAAAGCCGGTGGCATTTCTGGGTGCTGTTAGTGAATCGCTTTTGCTTTGCATTGTAGAGTTTTAAATTACACTACCGGATGTTGCGCCAAACTACTGACATTGGTTTTCTGAAGTGATCCTGAGCCCATGTGGTGATATTCTTTACCCACCGGTGTCAGTTTTACATGCAGAGCTGCCTGAGGGATCCAAGGTCAGGGGTATTCAATGTTCAGTCTTGCCACTTACATGCAGTGATTATTACAGACTCTCTGAACCTTTTCATGATATTATGGACCGTAGATGATGAAATCCTTCATTTCCTTGCAAAACGTTCAGGAGCATTGTCCTGTTCAACTACTTTCCAACTCAGTTGCTCAGAAATAGGTGAAAGTCACCCCAACTATTCTTGTGAATGACTGAACAATTTGGGGAAGCTCCTTTTATTCCCAATCATGGCATCCACCTGTTCCCAGTTAGCCCATTCACCTGTGGGATATTCCAAACAGGTGTTTGATGAGCATTCCTCAACTCTTTTTTGTCACCTGTCCCAGCATTTTTGGAACTTGTTGCAGTCATAAAACAGTTAAGTTGATGATTATTTGGTAAAAACAGTAAAGTCTATCAATTTAAACTTTAAATATCTTGTCTTTGTAGCGTATGTATTCAGAATTGTGAGAGAGAGAAACTTGTGATACTCACGTATTGCCTTTGGTGATTTGAGCACAATGTAACAACAGTACAGCATAAGTAAGCCCACGAAGATAAGGATGAGGATCCCAAGAGTGAAACCAGCCTAAAGGAGAAAACAAGAACATTGATGGCACCTTTTTAACATGTCAGAGAAACAGTATAATGTTTGATACTTAAAATAAACCAGTTTTACCTGCTTTATACCCCAAGGTATACTGAGGATGGATGTACCCATCATTGTGTTCCATATTGCAAATCTGCAATAAACGCAGAGCAAAGTAATGACATCGGCTTGGAAAGAAAGTGAGTGATTCAATGTAAGACGGCGACAGGGCTTACATGGTAATGATACTGGGGTTTTTTGTCATGTGATCCTTGCCAGACACCTTAAATGCTGTCCCCAATGGGCTGTAGATGTAGATTTCTTCTGTATTGGGGATAACATGGTTGGGGGGACTCTACAGGACAGGAAGATGCATAAGGTCATGAAATTTAGGGCCCGACCGATGAATTGGCCTTGATGTATATATCCCATCTGTTTGGGCATTCACAGGTAAGGCAATGTCCTGCTTTGATGAGCTCCAACTGAAAGGGACACCCAAATAAATGTGAGCTCTACTATCAAGCCTTGACTGCAATTTTGTGGAAACACACTATAATAGGAGCTCTTCTCAGTTCACAAAGCTTGCAAGCTTTGTATGGCGACTTTATGATACTGTTGGGAATGACTATTGCCAAAAGAACTTCTGCTTGCCCCAAAACGCTCCCACTCACACAGTGGGATAAGCAGCAGCTACATGAGTGGGTCGGCACCACAACAACAAAGTAAAGTGTACAAGAGATGAGCTTGTTTCTTGTGTGCAGTTTGTGCACACCATGATTATTCAACTATGACCCACCAGCAGCCGGTCAGAAGAACCAGTTAGTCTGCTATAGTAATGCACTCTGCTGTTGAGGATGGCAGCTTCGGCTGACACGCGCTCTTGTGGTTCATCATCTACGATGTTCCTTGGCTCCACGTAGAAAGGTCTGGAAGTAATAGACAAACAGTGAAATTGATTACAGTTAATATTTCTATCCTTGTGAGCAGAATTAGGCAAAACATACTTCCCCTTTTTCAACTCAGTGGGACTGTAGGGCATGGAAAAATGTAAAAATCATCCAATTTTTGGGCAGATCCACAATGTTTTCGTGAAGAGGCCTCTTATATGTTTTCTCAGTACCGTATTTTCTGCACTATAAGGCGCTTCGGATTATCAGGCGCACCTTCAACGAATGGCCTATTTTAAAACTGTTTTCATGTATAGGGCGCACTGCATTATAAGGCACATAGAATCGAAGCTACAGTAGTAGCTGCGGTTGCGCTATGTAGGAGTCCCCAACCGCCGGTCCGCGGACCGGTACCGGTCCGCAGGGCATTTGGTACCGGGCCGCACAGAAAAAAATTGCCTTATTTCCGTTTTATTTATTTCGGAATACGAAATATGTTTTATTTTGAAAAATTACCGGATTGTCTGTTACATCCGTCTGTGTCACGCTTGACTCACGTCAAGCCACACTTCTTGGTCACGTGACCGATGACGCTCATAAACAAAACGCTGAAGCCCGCAAAATGAGTAAAAAAGCTGCTTGGAGATCGCAATGACGGCGGCCTTAAAAGTACGTTCGAAACAACTGGATCAAAGTTATGGCTGAATACTGTGAGATCGCCACACTAGCACTGTTGCTATTTCCGACATCCTACCTGTGTGAGGTGGGGAGTTTCTGCAGCAACAGCGATTTAAACAAAATTACGAAGTAGACTGGACATAAACCACACACTTGAGGTGTCATTGTCTCCTATTACCCCGAGATGGGACTGTCTAATTGCAGAAAATCAAGCTCGGGGCTGTGGTGAGTCTCAAGGCCCGGGGGCCAGATGTGGCCGGCCACATCATTTTAAGTGGCCCACGAAAGCAAGTCAAAGATGACAACCTCCATGATGTTTTCTAAAATCTGGACCAAACTTTCAAATGCAATAAATCAGTGACATATTGTAACCATTTTCTTGTTACCAAACCCTGCATTACAGTTACTGAAACAATAATTGAACATAACATTATTAATTTCTTGATATAGTTTCAGTCATCACGGCCTTCCAAGGGAAACGGTCATTGTAATGTGGCCCGCGACATAAATGAGTTTGACACCCCTGCACTAGATAGTGCTATGTTAAAGGGAATGCAATCCAAGAAAATACAGCTTTATTTATATAGAGCAGGCATGTCCAGCCCCGGGCCTAGGGGGCCACCGTTCTGCCGGTTTTCCAGCTCTCCCGGCTGCAACACACCTGATTCAGATGATGGCTCATCAGCCAGCTCTGAAGCAGCATTAGAACTGTCACGATTCAGACGAACCAAATAATGTTTTTGGATCCCAAAATAGTACATACCAGACAAAAACTCTAACAAAAATGTTTAACCCCCCCGCCCCTGATATAGAGTCTTCACAACTGCTGCAGCTGTAACAAAGCCATGAGAACTGGTCACAAACATGGACATGAAACAAATACAAATGGCATTACAAATGCTAATACTAGCTAAATACTAACAGGGGAACAACTCAATGAGGAATATAAAGAGAGTTACAGTCTCTTTATATAAGGCGCATCGGATTATTGGGCGCCATGTCTGCTTTTGATGAAATTGATGCCTTTAGGTGCACCCTATAGTGCAGAAAATACGGTAAATTATACACTGATCTTCATGATGAAATTAGGAGGCCAGTACAATTAAAAGTGTACAATCCTGAACCAAAAGAGGATTGTTAAGCCTTGCCTGGGAGACATTTTATTTTCTTCATAAATAAA